GTGATGACCCTGCCGTGCGAGAAATGCGGGGGGTGTGCCGAAATGGGTGGGGGTGACGCATGCGGGCGGCGGCACTGAGGCCTTCGGTGGAGCTCCCTATGGAGCCACGAAACGTGTGAGGGGTGTGCCGAAATGGGTGTGGGTGGACGCATGCGGCCGCGGGCACTGGGGCCTTCGGTGGAGCTCCCTATGGAGCCACGAAACGTGTGAGGGGTGTGCCGAAATGGGTGTGGGGGACGCATGCGGCCGCGGGCACTGGGGCCTTCGGTGGAGCTCCCTATGGAGCCACGGAACGTGTGAGGGGTGTGCCGAAATGGGTTGTGGTGGGGCTCATTGGCGGCCGCGGCACTGGGGCCTTCGTGGAGCGCCCTTTGAGCCACGAACGTGTGAGGGGTGTGCCGCCATGGGTGTTGGGGACGCATTGCGTGGGGGTGCCGGTGTCACTGGAGGCTTCTGTGGAGCTCTCCCTATTGAGCCCGAAACGTGTGATGGGTGTGCCCGAAATGGGCGAAATGGTGTGGGGGCCGCATGGGGTCCGCGGGCAAACTGGCCTTCGGTGGAGCTCCCCTATGGAGCCACGAAAAACGTGTGAGGGCGTGCCGTATGGGTGTGTGGGGACGCATTGCGGCCGCGGGCACTGGGGCCTTCGGTGGAGCTCCCTATGGAGCCACGAAACGTGTGAGGGGTGTGCCGAAATGGGTGTGGGGGACGCATGCGGCCGCGGGCACTGGGGCCTTCGGTGGAGCTCCCCTATGGAGCCACGAAACGTGTGAGGGGTGTGCCGAAATGGGTGTGGGGGACGCATGCGGCCGCGGGCACTGGGGCCTTCGGTGGAGCTCCCTATGGAGCCACGAAACGTGTGAGGGGTGTGCCGAAATGGGTGTGGGGGACGCATGCGGCCGCGGGCACTGGGGCCTTCGGTGGAGCTCCTATGGAGCCACGAAACGTGTGAGGGGTGTGCCGAAATGGGTGTGGGGGACGCATGCGGCCGCGGGCACTGGGGCCTTCGGTGGAGCTCCCTATGGAGCCACGAAGCGTGTGAGGGTTGTGCCGAAATGGGTGTGGGGGACGCATGCGGCCGCGGGCACTGGGGCCTTCGGTGGAGCTCCCTATGGAGCCACGAAACGTGTGAGGGGTGTGCCGAAATGGGTTTGGGGGACGCATGCGGCCGCGGGCACTGGGGCCTTCGGTGGAGCTCCCTATGGAGCCACGAAACGTGTGAGGGGTGTGCCGAAATGGGTGTGGGGGACGCATGCGGCCGCGGGCACTGGGGCCTTCGGTGGAGCTCCCTATGGAGCCACGAAACGTGTGAGGGGTGTGCCGAAATGGGTGTGGGGGACGCATGCGGCCGCGGGCACTGGGGCCTTCGGTGGAGCTCCCTATGGAGCCACGAAACGTGTGAGGGGTGTGCCGAAATGGGTGTGGGGGACGCATGCGGCCGCGGGCACTGGGGCCTTCGGTGGAGCTCCCTATGGAGCCACGAAACGTGTGAGGGGTGTGCCGAAATGGGTGTGGGGGGCGCATGCGGCCGCGGGGAGGCAGCGGGAGGAAGGAAGGAGGGAGAACGCGGGGCACCGTCTCTTCAAAACGAGGACCCAACACCACAGGATGGTTGGGAACTTGAATAAACACGAATACGAACGCTCATGCGAATGTGAATGCCCTTGCATCCTCGCATCCGTACAACTACGACAATAGCCAGTACTACGATGGAAACAATCTGCCAGAGCCATTACTGATGTTACCATTGCCACTGCAAGCGCGCATTCCTTTCACATCTATTACTGCGAGAACTGCTGCCAACACCGGAAGGCAAATTGAGGCAACGGGAGGCAGCGGAATGCCAGGGGAGCCAACTAATATTGAAAGGTCACCGGAAGCCACGTGCCTACACGCCACTTAGAATAAAATCTATAATCTTTACACACTTTTCCGTCGGCGGCGAGGGAGAGGCAGTCCGCTCCAGCGTGTGGCTATTCGGGGCAACCAGAAGGCAACTTGTCCGGCGAGCAAAAGGGGAAAGAAAACACAAAAAATTAGCCTGACGAGGGACCCAACCATATACAGGTGTGAGTACCGCAATAGTGATTCACTTTTTCGGTGGCGATCCCTATGAGGCAACGAACCGTGCTAGGGGTGTGCCGACATGAGTGGCGTGGTACACAACGCGAACGAAAACGATTGATCTGAGTACGTAGGGAGACTGAGCGCGGGTGAATCTGCGCGCGTGCGTCTGACTGTGAATGAATCTGCGTGCGAACGAGTCTACGTGCATGAAAGCGAATATGACAAAGCGTGGCGCAATTGTGTATGAATGTCAATAGTTTGACAATGTCTGCCTCTGAGTACTCGTGACGCTGGGCGTGGCCGCCGCAAGGAGCTTCCCCGGGACTCCCCGACGGCATCGCCCGCGCGCCGCGACGCCAATGTCGGCGCGCCCCCCCGCGAGGATCGCGCCCGCTTCCTCCCCTTCCTTTACTCCCTCTTTGCCCGCGCACTCAAAAGTCCAAGGTTGCGGGCGCAGCGCAGCGCGGAGTCCCCGCGACGCGCGCAGGTCGCCCCGGAGGGGTCCCAGCGACGCGCGCGGGTCGTCCACTGCGCGGAGCAAAAAGAGCTAGCTGGCTGGCTGATAGCGGGCAAGGCTCTTGCCGCTGGGCAGAGAGACGACGGGACGCATGCGGGCACACCCACTGGGACCTTCGGTGGAGCTCCCTATGGGGCCACGAAACGTGTGAGGGGTGTGCCGAAATGGGTGTGCGGGACGCATGCGGGCACACCCACTGGGACCTTCGGTGGAGCTCCCTATGGGGCCACGAAACGTGTGAGGGGTGGCCGAATGGTGTGCGGGACGCATGCGGGCACACCCACTGGGACCTTCGGTGGAGCTCCCTATGGGGCCACGAACGTGTGAGGGGTGTGCCGAAATGGGTGTGCGGGACGCATGCGGGCACACCCACTGGGACCTTCGGTGGAGCTCCCTATGGGGCCACGAAACGTGTGAGGGGTGTGCCGAAATGGGTGTGCGGGACGCATGCGGGCACACCCACTGGGACCTTCGGTGGAGCTCCCTATGGGGCCCACGAAACGTGTGAGAGGTGTGCCGAAATGGGTGTGCGGGACGCATGCGGGCACACCCACTGGGACCTTCGGTGGAGCTCCCTATGGGGCCACGAAACGTGTGAGGGGTGTGCCGAAATGGGTGTGCGGGACGCATGCGGGCACACCCACTGGGACCTTCGGTGGAGCTCCCTATGGGGCCACGAAACGTGTGAGGGGTGTGCCGAAATGGGTGTGCGGGACGCATGCGGGCACTGGGACCTTCGGTGGAGCTCCCTATGGGGCCACAACGGGAAGTGTGAGGGTGTATGCCACTGAAACGTGTGCGGGACGCATGCGGGCACACCCACCTTCGGTGTGAACCGAAATGGTGTGCGGGACGCATGCGGGCACACCCACTGGGACCTCGGTGGAGCTCCCTATGGGGCCACGAAACGTGTGAGGGGTGTGCCGAAATGGGTGTGCGGGACGCATGCGGGCACACCCACTGGGACCTTCGGTGGAGCCCCCCATGGGGCCACGAAACGTGTGAGGGGTGTGCCGAAATGGGTGTGCGGGACGCATGCGGGCACACCCACTGGGACCTTCGGTGGAGCTCCCTATGGGGCCACGAAACGTGTGAGGGGTGTGCCGAAATGGGTGATGACGATGATGATGAAGATGGGAGGAGGGAGGGGGCAGCGGGAAGGAAGGAACGCGGGGCGACGTCTCTTCAAAACGAGGACCCAACACCACAGGATGGTTGGGAAAAACACTACTGACACACAGCCTGGAAAACAAGAACTTGGGGAGGTCCGCGCTGGTTTCTTGGATCGGCGCTGGACCACCTCCTCCTGGCGCGCCACGGGCGGCGCCTCCTCGCCGTGGGGGGGGGTCCAGAGCCTGGTCCAGGGAGGTCCAGACAGGGGCCCGAGAACTGCACATGAACGTCCGAAAGTTTGGAGGCTGGAATGGGCACCAACACAAACACAGGGGGCTGCTTCCACCGAGGGGAGATGCTCCTACGCGTTGGTGCTGGTGGTACTCGGCTCTTTCGGCCATCTCGGAAGCCCGACGTTCTTCTTTTCCCCGACCAGCTCACTCACGACAGCGATGTGCGCTGCTGAAAATCTTAGCACGCGCTAAGCGCTCTACTGATATACGCCGAGATCGAGATCATCTTCCGTCGGTTGAGGCACACCTTCGGACGCCCGCAATGGGTACGGAAATCATTGGCACAATGCCCAGCAACAAGTGTTGTCCACAACCGGCAGCGGCCGCTGGTGGGCAGGCGGTCGTCTGTCTCAAATGGACACAGTCCGCGGCGACGCCGACAGCGAATCCCGTTAAAAATGAACAGGAACTGCTGTCGGTTTTTGTATCCATTCTTTCCGTACCCATTTCGATCGTCTTGAATACCGCCGATGTGGGTGTCGGTGCCTACCTTTAGGTCGGGCATGTCCTCCTACAGGCAGGCTTCCGAGGAAACATAAAACAATAGTCCAAACATGTTCAAACACGGCCCCCAAAAAACAAATCGTCCCCAGACTGTTTTTGTTTTTATGTATGACTATTTTTGAGTTTTCCTCCTGTTGAAGGACATGCCCAACTTAAGCTTATCTCGATCCTCCGTTTTCTTGCTCTTTTGCACCGGCTTGCTCGTCCTGGATGCCCCAATATTGTTGATCTTCCATTTTGGAGCACTCCTCCTGTGGAGGGACATGCCCGACTTAAGTCTAGGTGGAGGTGGAGGAGGAGGGGAGAGGTGGAGGAGGAGGGGAGAAGGAGGAGGAGGAGGACGAGGAGGAAGAGGAGGACAGGAGGAGGAGGAGGAGGAGGAGGAGGAGGAGAGGAGGAGGAGGAGATGAGGAGGAGATGAGGAGGAGGAGGAGGAGAGGGGGAGGAGGAGGAGGAGGAGGCCTCCGAGTTCTTTCTCTCTGTGCCGACTTGCTCGCCCTCGATGCCTCGACGGCCGGCCGTTGCCGCCGCCTGGCCGCCGCCGGCGCCGGCGCCTCCAAGGCCGGCAGCGGCCCCCGCTCCGGCGGGCGCCGCAGCGCGGCGGAGGTGCCGTCGGGGTCGCGCCAGACCTGGGGATAGCCGAAGGCCTACCACGAGCACGCGTGAATAGGCACCAATCTCTGGATCCCCCATATAGTTTCCCATGTCGTCGGGGGCTCCCATGACTCTTCCCTCTATATTCGCTCATGTTCGAGGGTTCCCATAGTTCCCCATCTTCCTCCCCACTTCCAATACTTTCACGTGTATCCTGTGAGACCAAAGGAATACCACAAGGAACATAGAAGAAGAAACAACGCCATGAACATACATGTTTGGCGCTCGCTCTCCGCGCGGATTGCTCGGATCTGGCCCAGATCCCCCTCCCTGGCGCGCGGAGCGCGACAGGGGCGGCGCAGGAGGCGCCGCCTGGGGGGGGGCCCAGCGCGGATCCAAGAGACTAGCGAGGAGCGCGAAAAGTTTAGGTTATGGTGTTTATCTTCTTCGAGACAAGGGAGGTCAGAGGATGACAAGGTCCCGATGCCGCTGCGCTTCCCCCCCCTCGTCTGTACGGCCGGCTGCGCATCGGCACATCCTGGTCAGAGCGCACCCCAGACTAGCCTTAAGTCGGGCCTGTCCTCCTACAGGGGGGATTTGGAGGAAACATTAAAAATAGTTACAAAACACCCCAACATGGTCGACACATATATAAATATAAAAACCAAAGAGAACCTCCCCAGATTTTTTGAACAACTATTTTTTAATGCTCGTCCTGTAGAAGGACAGGCCCGACTTGAGGCCAGAGGCCTGGCGAGTAATTCGCGGCATCGGTCTGCGACTTCGGCCGTGGCGGCGAGGCTCCCATTATAGAGGCCTCCTTGATGAGGTCGGAGTAGATGGGGTCGGAGGATCTCGCCGCATCTCCGATACATCTGCGATGCATCGCCGATGCACCCGTGATGCATCGGTGACGTCGGCGATGCGTCGGCGCCATCGGCGCGATGAACATCGGGCTCCACATCGGGCCGCATGTCGCCGATGCATCGGCGGTTCGGCGCGATCCTCCGACCCCATCTGCTCCGACCCCATCTGGGAGGCCCAGATCCCAGGAAGCCCCCCCCCCCCACAAGGCTCAAGTCGGGCCTGTCCCCCTACAGGGGGATTTTGGGCGCAAGATGCAAAAAGTAGTCAAACAATGCCCGCAAATGGTCAAAGATGGTCAACAAATCGTCCCCATGCTATTTTTGTTCACTATTCTCGAATCTCCCTCCTGTCGAGGGACAGGTCCGACTTAACACAAGGCGAAAACCCGGCAAGAGCAGCTCGGGTCGGGCGAAAGGGGGGGATAGCAAAAGGGGGGGTTTGAGGATCAGCTCACGTAGCTGATTTTCCCGGCGCCTCCCGGCGCCCATGTATCGAAGAATGGGCCCCTCGGTGGGGCCGAAACCAGCTGCGTGCAGCAAATTTCGTACCCCCCCCTTTCCCAAACGCCCCCTCTCGTCCAGCCCGGGCAGCGGCGGCGGCACGCCTCCTCCCTCCGAGTGCCGCCCGGGGGGCCGCGCCGGACCTGCAGCCAGGAGCCCGCCAGCGCCCGCAGCACGTCGGCCGGCCGCGCGCGCAGCCCCCGCAGCTGGCGCAGCGCCAGCACCGCCTCGAGGCGGGGCCCGCCGACGTCGGATCCACTGGGGGGCCACCTGCGAGCCCTACCCCTGCCCCCCACGATTTCTGAGGGGGAGGGTGGGGTTCAGTTCGTTCGGGAGCTCCCGAGCGAAGTGAACCCCGCCCTCCCCCTCAGAAGTCGTGGGGGGCAGGGGCAGGGTTCGCATGTGGCCCCCCTATCCACGAGTCGTGTCGAAAATCGAAGTGCGCGTCGGATCTGGGGGAACGAGCAACGGCATGATCAGAAAGACTCGGAGGTCCGCGCGGGTTTCTCGGATCGGCGCCGGAAGCCCCCTGGCGGCGCCTCTGGCACCGCCCCCGGCGTGCTCCCCGCGACAGGGAAGGGGGTCCGAGGGTCCAGCGCCGACCCGAGAAATCCGCACGGGCCTCCGAGTTTGATGTTTATGTCACTGTTCGTTCCCCTAGGATCGGGCTGCCTCGGCGAGGAGTCAATCTCGAATCGGATTGGCCGAGCTTGGGCGCACAGCAGCGCCGGGCGAACATCGGGCCGCATCGGGTCGTCGGGGCATCTCGGTCGAGGCGGATCGGGCCAGCCGAAACTGGTATCGACGCGCATCGATCGGATCGAAACTGACCCTGCCTCGAGATCGACCCAGCCGCCCGGGCTGTCCGATATGAGCTCCTGCAAATGGCGGTCGCACCTCAGGTGCTCGTCGCTGAAGCAGGCCTCCACCTGCTGGGGAACATCAATCCCGCAGGCGTGCTCGCGTCGTGCACAAAGCTCGCGGCGGAAGGCCGTGGCCGCTTCGGCCTCTGAACGCTCTCGCCAGGCACCTGGACCGCCAAAGCACGGCTCGGGACGAAGCATTGGTGACGGATTGGGGCGTCCGATGGCCCCGCGAATCGCAACATCGGGTGTCTGGGATCGGGTCGGACGGAGGAAGGGGTCCGGCTTTCTGGGCGCCTCCCAGGGACATGTAGGGCGACGAGATCTATACATACCCGCTGCTCCCTGGCCGGGCGCACCGTCGATCAGAACCAGGGGGACTCCCCTCCCCCCCAACACCCCCCCCTCCCGAACACCCCTCCCCCCCTCCCAAGGGCGGGGGGGGGAGGTTCCAACCCCCCCCCCCCCTGCCCCCCTGGCGCCGGCGCCGGCGCTGGCGGCCGCCGCAGCGTCAACGCAGCGACGATGACCAGAGAGGACCCAGGAGGGGAGGGAGGTACAACCCCCCCCCCGTGCCGGCGCCGGCGCCGGCGGCGGCCAGCAGCGCCGACGGCGGGAACGCAGCGACCATGACCAGAGAAGGCCCAGAGGCAGCAGAGGGATCACACAAATCGCTATATCGAGCAACGGCATGCTCCTCAGACGCCCCCGTGACCCTTCTTACGAGACCTCAAGAGGCATCCATTAGACAAACCCAAAGCCAAAACACAGTGGCGGGAAGAGCCGAAGGCCACACCATCACCACCACCACCACAGACCACCATACCACCACCACCACCACAACCACCACCAAAACCACCACAACCCACCATGAACACAACCACCTCCATCACCACAAACCACCTCACCACCACCACCACAACCAAAAACGCCACCACCACTAGCCACACCACAACCCACCACAACCAACCACAACCACCCCTTCCACCACCACAAACCACCACACCATTACTGCACCACCACCATCACCACCTCCGCCACCACCACCACCATCACCACAACCCACCACCACCACCACCACCACCACCACCACCACCACCACAAACCACCACACCACCACCACAACCACAACCACAACCACCACCACCACCACCACCACCACCCACCACCCACCACCAAGCACCACTACCAGCAGCACCACCACCACCAACACCAACACCACAGCCCTCCACAACCACCACAAACCACCACGCCACCACCACCACCGCCACCACCACGACCACCACCATTACCACCTCAAGCCACCACCACCACCAAACCACCACACAACCACCACCACCACAGCCACCACCAACACCACCACCACAACAGCTCACCACCACCACCACCACCAATACAACCAACCAACCACCACTACCACCAACACAAACACCACAATCTACCACACCACCACCACCACCACCGCCACAAGCACCACCACTTCTACCAGCAGCACATCCCACCACCACCACCACAACCACCAAAAACCACCTCACCACCACCACCACCGCCACTGACACAACCACCAGCACCCCCGCCGCCGCCGCCAGCCGCCGCCGACGCGGGCGCCGGCCCGAGGAGAGGGAGAGAGGAAACGTAGGGGAGGGGAGGGGGGTCCTGTTCCCCCCCCCCCTCCAAGCGACCACAGAACGCGCTCTTTCTTACAAGGAGAAGGGATTGAGGAGGAGGGGGAGGAGGCCGAAGGAGGAGGAGGAGGAGGCGGAGGAAGAGGAGGAGGAGGAGGAGGAGGAGGAGGAGGAGGAGGAGAAGCTGTTGCTGCTGTAGGAGGAGGAGGAGGAGGAAGAGGACGAGGAGACCCCTTCCCCTTACGCCTGTCGTCGTCCTTGGACGGCCCTGGGGCCCGGCTAGAAGAGCCCCTGGAGGCCACCTGCTGCCAGTCCTGTCCACGGCCCAAGCATCGCCTCCGAGAGGAGGAGCTGTGCAATCCGCGGCCCCGGGGCTCCCGCCGACCTCCTCCCAGGGGTTGCTATGGCGTTGCGTCCCAGCTCCGTGCGTGGTGGTGCCCGGGCCCGATAACGGGCCAGGGCGAAATCCAGGAACACAACCATATCCAAAGAATAATCACAAGAATGTGATTCATAATAATGACATTATTTGGGGGCCACATGCGAGGCCTACCCCTACCCCCCACGGTTTCTGAGGATCAGGGCGGGGTTCACTTCGCTCGGAAGCTCCCAAGCGAAGTGAACCCCACCCTCCCCCTCAGAAATCGTGGGGGGTAGGAGTAGGGTTCGAATGTGGCTCCCTAGTTACGATGGAATTTTAAAATGAAAACATTAGGAAAACACATGTATACATTCAACTACTACTACTACTACTACTACTACTACTACTACTACTACTACTACTACCACTACTACTACTACTACTACTACTACTACTACTACTACTACTACTACTACTACTACTACTACATCTACGACTACTTCACATACGACTAGTACTACGGCTACTACTACTACTACTACTACTACTACTACTACACCTACTACTACTACTACTACTACTACTACTACTACTACTACTACTACTACCACTACTACTACTACTACTACTACTACTACTGCTACTACTACTACTACTTACTACTACTACTACTACGGCTACTACTGCTGCTACTACTACTACTTCTATTTCTACTTATAATGTTACTTCTGCTAGTACTACTAGTACTACGTCAACTACAACAACAACAACACCTACTACTACTACTATTTCTACTTATACGGCTACTACTACGACTACTACTACTACTGCTACTACGACTACTCTACTACTACTGCTGCTACCACTACTACTCTATTACGACTACTTCTACTACTACCACTACCACTACTACTAGTAGTACTACTACTACTACTACTACTACTACTACTACTACTACTACCACTACTACTACTACTACTACTACTACTACATCTACGACTACTACACATACTACAAATACTACTATTATTATTATTACTACTACTACTACTACTACTATTACTACTACTACGACCACTACTACTACGACTACTACTACTACTACTACTACTACTACTACTACTACTACTACTACTAGGACTACTACTACGACTACGACTACGACTACGACTACGACTACGACTACGACTACGACTACACTACTACTACTACTACGACTACTACTAGTACTACTACTACTACTACTAACTACTACGGCTACTACTACTCTAACTACGACTACTACTACTACTGACACTACTATACTACTACTACTTCGAATACTACTACGACTAATACTGCGACTCGAATCCGACTACGACTACGGCTACAACGACCGGGACACTACTACTACACTAACTACTACTATCTACTACTGACTACTACTACTAACTACGACATCTCCTACTCCTACTACTACTACTACTATTTTTTTTTTTTTTCTACTACTACTACTACTACTACGACTACAACTGACTACTACTACTACTACTACTGCTACTACTATACTACTACTACTACTACTACTACTACTATTATTACTACTACTACTACGACGACTACTACTACTACTACTACTACTACTACTACGACTACGACTACGACTACGACTACGACTACTACTGCTATTGCTACTGCTACTGCTAGTGATACTGCTACTGCTACTACTACTGCAACTACTACTACTACTACTACTACTACTACTACTACTACTACTACTCTCACTACTACTACTACTAGAAGCAATCACGACGTCTCAGTTAAGGAGAACGCGTCGTTTCACGGGCGGGCTTTTGCCTTGGAACATTCGCGGCGCGTTGCAAACCGTGGGGGGGGCCCCCCCCAAAAAAACAGTCGGCGCCGTCGATCAAAACCAGGGGGGCCCCCTTCCCCCCAAACCCCCCCCCTCCCAACCCCCCCTCCCTTTCCCAAGGGGGGGGGGTTCAAAGCACCCCCCCGTCGGCGCCAGCGCTTGCGCTGGCGCTGGCGGCCGCCAGCAGCGCCGACGGCGGTGACGCAGCGACGATGACCACCACCTAGCTACCCACCACCACCATCCACCACCGCCTCACTCCACCACCACACCACCACCACCAACAGCACCACACAACCACCACCACCACCACCACCACAGCCACCACCACCACCAACACAACGACCACCGCAACTCACCATCACCACCACCACAACAAAAACCCACCACCACTACCACCACCACCAAAATCTACCACACCACCACCACCACCGCCACCACCACCACCACTACCAGCAGTACAACCGACCGCCACCACAATAAACCACCACACCACCACCACCACCACCGCCACCACTACAACCACCACAACAAACGTCCACAAACCACCGCCACCACCACAACCCATCACCACCACCACCACAAACTTCCACCATACCACCACATCCACAACCACCGCCACAACTCACCATCACTACCACCACAAAAACCCACCACCACTACTACCACCACCACAATCTACCACACCACCACCACCGCCACAACAACCACCACTACCAGCAGCACAACCAAACCCCACCAAAAACCACCACACCACCACCACCGCCACCACCACCACCACCACCACAAGCACCACCCCCACAAACCACCTCCACAACCACAACCCACCACCACCACCACAAACCACCACCACACGACCGCCAAACCGCCACCACCACCACAACCCACCGACCAACACCACCACACGCACAACCACCACAAACCGCCACCACACCACCACCAAAAAACCACCACCACCACCACCACTCACCGCCACAACCACAACCACCACAACAAACCACCACACCACCACCACCACAATCACTGCCACCGCCACCACCACCACAACCCACCACCACCACCACCGTCGTCGTCGTCGTCGTCGTCGACGCTTCCCGCCATCGCCGCCCGCCGCCGCAGGCACCGGCGCCGGCCAAGAAATGGAAATCGTCGTCCCCGGCACGCCGCCCAGTCTCCAGCACGCTGCGTTGCCGCCCCAAGCGAGCAGCCCCGCCTTAAAAAAAAATGTAAAAGAAGAAATAAAGCAAAACGAAAAAAGAAAATATGCAAGAAAAAAATGAAAAAAAGAAACAAAAAAGAAAGGGGAAGCAGGGGGCGGGGGGGGGGTTCGATCACCCCCCCCATTCCCGTCACGAGGGTTGGGGGAAGTTCGAACCCCCCCCCCTCCGTCACGGGAGGGGGGGCGGTTCGAACCCCCACCCCCCCTCCATCCAGGGGGGGTGGGGGTCCGGTTCCAAGCCCCCCCCCCTCCAAGCGACCACAGATAGCGCTCTGTCCTACTACGGCTACTACTAGTGATACAAATAATGATGATCAGAACAATGATAACGATAACAGAAATAATAGCAATATTCCTCCTCACCATCCTCATTGTGATGATCGACATCATCACCATCACCATCACCATCACCATCACCATCACCATCACCATCACCATCACCCTCACCACCATCATCATCATCATCATCATCATCATCATCATCATCATCATCATCATCATCACCATCACCATCACCATCACCATCACCATCACCATCACCATCATCATCATCACCATCATCATCATCATCATCATCATCATCATCATCATCATCATCATCATCACTATCATCAGCAACAGCAGCAACACCAATCATTTTTAGACTGCTCGCTCCTATCTGCTCGCGTACCATACAACACGTGTATCCCATACCCTCGGTTCCCGCCCTCTTCGTCTTCGATCGTACCCCCTTGGATATGTACCCTCCTTACCTGCCACGTTTATTTAGTGCAGCCCCTAAGGCAGGGGAAAAGGGGACGGATGGAAGGGGTAGGGAGATGGAGCACGAGAGTGCATTAGCAGGAGGGGGGCTAGGAGCAGAACACACGTGGCAGAACCAGACTGGCAGATCGGGCGGGCAGACCCCAGCGGGTGGGTCGGAAAGGCGGGCCCAGGCAGGAGTGTAGTTGAAGCGTGAGTGCTCCATGAATCGCGGGGATGTCTCAGGCGATAGTGCGAGTCCCAAGTAAATCGCTAGGACATCTAAAGCGAGAGCGCGATTCCTGATTGTGGAGGACGCGGGACGCGGCGTCTGAATAAACTGCTAAGAATTCCAACGCGAGAGCGCGAGTCCTGCATACATTGTGAGGAAGACCCGCGCGAGAGCGCGATTTTGGAATAAAGTGTGAGGAGGTATCAGGCGGGAGACATTTGTTGTTGTTGCTGCTGTTGTTGTAGTTCGGGGCCCAACAACGCAGTCTGAGCAGGAAGGCTTTTCTTTTATGAATAACAGGGTGCGAGCCCCGAGGGGGGCGCCTTAAATAAAAAAACATGATGTGCACAGGTGGGAGGGATCAACAATCATATTTCTTCAAGAATTAGAATTCAAAAACAACAGCATCAGCAGCAACAACATCAACAACAACAGCAACATCAAAAGCAACAACCACAACAACAGCAACAGCAGCAACAACAACACCATCAGTATCATCATCAGCAGCATCATCATCAACATCATCATTACCACCAGCATCAGCATCAGCATCAGCATCAGCACTTGACCCAGCCTCAGCATCAGCATCATCATCACCATCATCACCACCCTCGCCAAAATCATCTATATACATATGAATATGAGAATATATAAATATATGTGTGTCTTCTTCCTCATGCGCAACAGCATGCATCACGAAACATCGCGGCCCATTCCTCATGCGCAACAGCATGCATCACGAAACATCGCGGCCCAAGCCCTAGGCCCCATCTTCTCGAGCCGATGGCCCAGAGGCCCGAAATTTAGCGCAAAATCGCCAGGTCTGAAGAATCCGATGCCAGGATCTCAGAAATTCCTCCCCACGACGAGACCAGGCGAGGTTGGAGGAAGAAACAACTGCCTGACCATGATCTCTTGAAGGTCCGCGCGGATTGCTTCGATCGGCCCTTGACCCTCCTCCTTGGCGAGCGGAGCGCGCCAGGGGCGGCGTCGGAGGCGCCGCCAGGGGTGCCTCAGCGCCGATCTAAGAAATCCGCGCGGAGTTCCGGAAGCTTATGTATGTGCAGTCTTAAAAAAAGAAGTATGTATCGACCACTATTCCAGGCTTTGGGAGGTTTTCGAATGGACCTGAAATTTGGGGCCCAACCCTGGGATATACGATGGGGGGGCCTCCATCCTCGATAGGGGTTCGCCCGAATAGCCCTGTTGCTGTATCCCAAGGTTTCCCTCCTTTTCTGAGCGGCTTCTCTTTCGTCGGAAAGTCGGAGTACATCCAAGGGCATCAAACTTCGCAGGTAGCTTTTTCACCCCGAACCCCCGACATTGCCGCTTGTTTCTTCCACCTGCATAAACGCCCCCCCTCCCATCGTATATCCCAGGGTTGGGGGCCCAGACATGCGACGTCCTGATTTTTTCATCATGCCCAGGGTGGGGGCCCGGGGTTGGGGGCCCGTCATGCCCGGAAATCCCGACCCGTTCCCCGGGGCTGGTTTTTCATCCCGAATCGTTGTTTGACGGTCCCGGGGGCCAGCGAGGGCCCCCAGGGGCCGAAAACGGCTAAAACTCTCCCGCCCTGACTTTTTCACGACGCGACCGTGTCTGGGCATCCCAGGGCTGGGGGAGAAGCATCGCCTGCGCAGCTTCTTGCCCTTACAGGGTGTGCTGCACCCTGCCGCGCGCCTGCGTCTGCAGGGGCGGCGGGCCCTCCGGCGGCGCCGGCGCGTGCTCGGCGGCGCCGCCCTCCTCGGGCTCCTCCGCGCAAGGGAGGGGGGCCACGTCCGGTGATGGGCCGATGTTCCACCACCACTAAGGATGGGGCGGAGGAGGAGGAGCGCACGTGCAGTGGGGAGGAGGAGGAGGAGGAGGAGGAGGAGGAGGAGGAGGAGGAGGAGGAGGAGGAGGAGGAAGACGACGGCGGAGGAGGAGGAGGAGGAAGACGACGGCGGAGGAGGAGGAGGAGGAAGATAAGGCAGCTCTGGATAAGGAAAATCCATGGTCTGGAAGCCCGCGGAACTCCAATCGCGGAGCGGCCACGGGTCTCACCGCCGCCCTGATTGGGTGAGGCATCCTCCAGGGTCGGAAGCCTCCCTGGCACATTCCTTAACGAATGCCCCCACCGTGCCACATGTAGGAGATGGAGGAGGAAGAGGATGAGAAGGAGGAGGAGGAGAAGAACCTCCCCATCCTCCACTCTCTCCCGTCCTATGGTGGTGGTGGTGGTGGAAATAGGCCCATCAGTCCTGGGGGGGGGGGCCTGGCTGGGGAAGGGAAACGTCGAGCTGGACGCACATCCCGCTGGAAGCCCAGACCCCCTCGGGCAATGAAAAAATCATGACGGGAGGTGTTTGGCTATTTTCGGCCTCTAGGGGCCCTTACCAGCCCGCGGAACCGTCAGAGAACGACTCAGGATGAAAACCCAGTCTGGGGGAAGGGATCCAGACCTCCAAGGGTCGACGTTAAGAAAAAAATCATGACGTCGGGGGTCTGGGTTAGGGGCCTCCTGAGTATAGTCCTCGGAGGGGGGAATAAACGGCCGGAGGGGGAACCGGGCCCGGGAGGGGAAACACGAAACACATCGAGCTGGAAGCGGCGGTGTACAGTCAGACCCAGGACAGGAGAACACCCTTAGAGGAAGAAAGATCGGCATAAACATAAACAACAATTTACGTTGATGCCGTCTTTTGTGCTTCGAATCCTTCAAGGACGTGGGACCCTCCGCCGGCCAGACCTGAAGAACATTCGAGGGCCCCCCCCACCCCGCACAGGATGCACAATCGTGTCCAGCAGGCACGAAGAACACCAGGGTACACCCTCCCCGAACCGACTTCGATCCTATACCTCGGTCCGACTGTATCCAGAAGAACGAGGAAAACGGCATGAACATACACGTGCGACGCTCCGCGCGAACACGGCACAGACATACTGTACACTTTTTCGACGGCCCGCGCGGACTTCCTGGATCGGGGCCAGGCCCCGGGCCAGGGAGAGGGGGTGCCGTGGGTGCCGCACCACAGGTCCAAGAAATCTGTGCGGATCGTCGAAAGCGCATGCTCACGCAGCGCCGACAGATCGGCGATACTCGAGGCCTCCTAGATGGGGTCGGAGAATCGCGCCGCACCGCCGATGCATCGGCGATGCACTGGGCGATGAATCGTCGACGTCGGCGATGCATCGCCGACGTCGACGTGAAGCAAATCGGGCTCCACATCGTGACACGCATCGGCGAGGCATCGGCGATGCGGCGCGTCCCTCCGACCCCATCAAATTGATCCGACCCCATCCAGGAGGCTTAGAGATACGCCCCCGAGGCTAAAATCACGCGTTCCCGGGCGGGGACGACTTTCAAGAGTAGAAGAAAAAAACATAAACATCAACTTTTGGCGCCTCGCGCGGATTTCTTGGATCTGTGCTGAACCCCCCTCCCTGGCGCGCGGAGCGCGCCAAAGGCGGCGCTGGAGGCGCCGCCGGTGCGGCCCAGCGCGGATCCAAGATATCTGCGCAGAACACCAAACGTTTCTGTGTTTGCTGTTCTTTCTTTTTCGAAAGGCATTCCTGTAGGCCTGCCACGACATGTTCCTAGAACCCCAACATGCTCGAATAACAAAAACCATGTTCTTATCCCATTAAGCCAATGTGCTAACACAAGACAGTCCCAGCCAGAAGTGTCCGAAAAACACGTCACGCATACCACAGAAAGGTTATTGGCGCATTCTTTGGTGGGCCGATAGGCAAGCCAGGACGCTTCGCCACTGCTTGAATCAAGAGCCCCCTATCCTTCCTGGAGGGGGAGGAGGAGAAGGGAGAGGAGGAGGACCCAAGAGTCATCAACGAAGTTGGAGAAAACCCTCCCTCCAAGCTCTCTCTTCGCAGGCCCCTACAACTGTTCATTTCCATTGATGGAACTGCCTCGTTGGAAGACACTCGTTTAAAGACCGTGCTGCCTGCCAAAACATTGTTCTCGGGACTCCAACGCCACGGATCAACCTGACTGTTGTGCCTTGGCGATCCTGAATCATGCCAGACCGCCATTCCTAGGACTTCAACGCAAAGAATCAATGTAACTGTTGCACCCGCATAATCCTGAATCCTTCCAAAGCGCCATTGCTGGTACGTTGATGATGGGAATCCGTGAAACTCTTGGAAATGTTTGAAACGATTGTGCGCGGCGCTAAAGCGAGAACAACATTTTGAAAACCACTCGCCCTCAATCCGTGAAACTCTTGCACATGTTCAAAACGAATGTGCGCGGCGCTGAGGCGAGAACCACATGTTGAAAATAAACCGCATTCTATCCGTGAGACTCTTGTAAACTTCAAAACAAAAAAACACCGAATGTGCGCGGCGCTAAGGCGAGAACCACATTTTGAAAACGACCCGTCCTCAATCCGTGGAACCCTTGCGATTTTCTTCAAAACGAATGTGCGCCGCGCTAAGGTGAGAGCCACACGTTGAAAACAACCGCCCTCCATCTGTCAATATGTTGCCCATTTTCAAGCCTCAGAACCATAAATGGTACGGAGGTCTCAAGCGAAACGCCCGGCCCGCCTTAAAAACTGGCTCGGGGGTGCGACAGAGAGAACTAAACTTTCCATACATATATATATATATACATATATATATGTACAAGGAAATGACTAGGGGAAGGAGGAGGGGGAGGACGAAGAGGAGGAGAAGGAG